GACCCACGGTCGTCGCTCAGACCCTCTCAGACCCTCACCGCTCAGACCCTCACGGTCGTCCTCAGACCCACGGTCGTCGCTCAGACCCTCACGGTCGTCCTCAGACCCTCACCGTCGTCGCAGACCTCACGGTCGTCCCTCAGACCCACAGGTCGTCGCTCAGACCCTCACGGACCCTCACGACCATCGCTCAGACCCTCACGGTCGTCGCTCAGACAGACCCACACGGTCAGACCCTCACGGTCGTCGCTCAGACCCTCACGGTCGTCCTCAGACCACGGTCGTCACCCTCAGAACCCTCTTCCTCACGACTCGTCCTCAGACCCTCACGGTCGTCGCTCAGACCCTCACGGTCGTCCTCTCACTCGTCAGACCCTCACGGTCCTCACCCTCACGGTCCTCAGACCCTCGTCGCTCAGACCCTCACGGTCGTCCCTCAGACCCTCACGGTCGTCCCTCAGACCCTCACGGTCGTCGCTCAGACCCTCACGGTCGTCGCTCAGACCCTCACGGTCGTCCCTCAGGACACTGACCTCGGTGCCGGACTCCGGGATGAAGCTCTTGATCTCCACGGTGTTTCCTGGAGCGGGGAACGCCGCCTCACGGAGCTTCTGCATAAACGGGTAGATCATCGCCATGGAGATCTGCCGCCGCTTCTCCACCTCGTCGAAGATCTGAAACACAAACACGTCGAGGTCACACTTCTGGGACATTACACAGACTCATTCAGTTTATTTGGACACTGAAATTTCCATAACGTCAATGTGCTGCACTTTCCAACTTCATCTCCTGGTAAATTTAATAAATATAATAAAGTTAAACGCACTCTGTACCTTAATTACTCTCTACATTTATATTACTATACTGTATTGTGACACTTTGAGGCCAATACATCTCACCTCTCTGAAGAGTTATTTTAACTCTTTGAAAGTTAAATGTGTTGGAGTTGGGGTGATTTACCAGAGTTGATTTGGTTGAACTTAATTCAACTTCCACTAGTGTTAATTTGGCTCCTCCCACCACTTCAAACTCCCACCAGAGAAGAACCAGTTTGAACCAGTTTTGTTCATAATTTCATCTTAAATTAACTCAAATAAAGTGTAAAAATAAACCACCTCTGTGTGTTGTTGAGTTAAATCAGGATAACTCTACAAAGTGTTATCTGTTTACTCTCTAAACGTTCATTTAACTCTGGATTTGGGGTTAAACAGGAACTTTGGTCCAGTGTTGAACATTTGAACATGAACATTTCCAAAAGTGTTAAATTAACTCTAGAACAGATTGGATTCAAAATGATTCTGTGAGAGTTGATTTTAACACTCCACTTGTTGCTCTGTATGGATTTGGTTGTGATAAAAGGTCCCTGATTGTACAAAGCACCGACCTGGAAAAACGTTTCCAAGAAAAGTGTGATTTCCGTGATGAGGACCTGAGATATGTCCGTGTGAAGGCGACAGGTCCTCACATGTCCAGAGCGCAGTGTTGGAGTGTTACTTTTAAAATGTAATCCCCTACAGATTACAGATTACATACCCCAAAATGTAGTTTGTAACAGAATCCATTAAATGACTTAAAGTGAGTAATGTAATCTGATTACTTTGGATTACTTGATTTGTTGTAGAGAAACAAAGACGAGGAAATCTTCACATAAGAAGTTTTGTCTGATAAAAGAAAATAAAAAGTCCAGATTTTACTGAACCAAATTAAAAATATTATTGATAGAAGAAGAGACACGTCAGCAGGTTTTAGTCCTGGTTTTAGTCCTGGTTTTAGTCCTGGTTTAGCCTGCTGGTTTTAGTCCTGGTTTAGTCCTGGTTTTAGTCCTGGTTTTAGTCCTGGTTTTAGTCCTGGTTTAGTCCTGGTTTAGTCCTGGTTTAGTCCTGGTTTTAGTCCTGGTTTTAGTCCTGGTTTTAGTTCCTGGTTTTAGTCCTGGTTTAGTCCTGGTTTTAGTCCTGGTTTAGTCCTGGTTTAGTCCTGGTTAGAGTCCTGGTTTTAGTCCTGGTTTTAGTCCTGGTTTTAGTCCTGGTCCTGGTTTTAGTAGTCAAGTGGAATTACTGAAAAAAAAAAAAAAAAAACTGAAAACAGTTAAATCCCTAGTAACTAATCCAATCCATCACTTTGTAACTCTGATTACTCTGGTACATGTAATCTGTTACTCCCCGACACTGCCAGAGCGTTACACAACACACTGAGGACCTGATAGAAGACGCCGCGCTCGTTCACGCCGTCGTCCGGAGCGTTTTGTGTTTTGTGACGGGACGTGTTGGTGCAGCCGTCCGACCCCGACCTGATTTCACCGATAGTCACACAGAACTGGACCTGTTTAAAAAGGACTGATTACGGAAAACTGATTTCACTTTTATCGGGGTCTGAAAATCAAACGGCCCATATTACATCATTTTCCGATGTAATCTAATCTCGTTTTCCTCATCAAGTATTTTTATTATCGTTTGAGAGCTCCTGAAAAGTCCGACAGAGCAGCAAAAGACTTTCACTTTTTAAACAAGTAGATTCTTTCATGTGACACTTTTACTTTTAATTGAGGATTTTTTGCTAAAGTAACAAAACTGAGCACTTCTTCCACCTGTGTTTTTATTTCTTATACAGTCAACGGTTTTTACCAGCACAGAAACTATCAAAGGCCCAAGCAGAGAAACACTTTCAGGGTTCAGATGACACTAGTTTTGGATCTGTTCAGATTTCATTCCCTCGTCACACAGACCTGGAGTTGTGTTTTGTTTCATTCACATGTTAAACTCACAAACCTGCACATTTAGGCCGAGTTCTTCTCTCAAACTGAAAAAGGAGCTGCTGAAAAACCTGAAAACCTGAAAACTGAACCTGAAAATCACTTCATGACATCACAAGAACCGTTTTCAGGACAGAAAGGTGCTGGTTCCTGCACAAGATAATCCGGGGACCAAAATGGAGAAACGTCTGCGGTGAAGAAACGTCTGCTGTGCTGTGGACAAACGTCTGCCGTGGACAAACGTCTGCCGTGGACAAACGTCTGCCGTGGACAAACGTCTACTGTGGAGAAACGTCTACTGTGGACAAACATCTGCCGTGGAGAAACGTCTGCAGTGGAGAAATGTCTGCCGTGGACAAACGTCTGCCGTGGAGAAACGTCTACTGTGGAGAAACGTCTACTGTGGAGAAACGTCTACTGTGGAGAAACATCTGCCGCGGACAAACGTCTACTGTGGACAAACGTCTGCCGTGGACAAACGTCTGCCGTGGACAAACGTCTACTGTGGAGAAACGTCTACTGTGGAGAAACGTCTGCCGTGGATAAACATCTGCTGTGCTGTGGACAAACGTCTGCAGTGGAGAAACGTCTGCCGTGGACAAACGTCTGCCGTGGACAAACGTCTGCCGTGGACAAACGTCTGCCGTGGACAAAACGTCTGCCGTGGACAAACGTCTGCCGTGGATAAACGTCTGCTGTGCTGTGGAGAAACGTCTGCAGTGGAGAAACATCTGCCGTGGACAAACATCTGCTGTGGATAAACATCTGCCGTGAACAAACATCTGCCGTGGACAAACGTCTGCCGTGGACAAACGTCTGCTGTGGACAAACGTCTGCCGTGGACAAACGTCTACTGTGGACAAACGTCTGCTGTGGACAAACGTCTGCTGTGGACAAACGTCTACTGTGGACAAACGTCTACTGTGGACAAACGTCTGCTGTGGACAAATGTCTGCCGTGGACAAACGTCTACTGTGGAAAAACGTCTGCTGTGGACAAACGTCTGCTGTGGAGAAACGTCTACTGTGGACAAACGTCTACTGTAGAGAAACATCTGCAGCGGACAAACGTCTGCCGTGGACAAACGTCTACTGTGGACAAACGTCTGCTGTGGATTCGGTGACGGTGACGTTCAATCCAAAGATGAAACGTCACTGGTCGAACATGGATACAGCAAATATTTGTTCTCCTCCTCTGACCACGGCTCAATCTTCTGTCTCCTGATTTCTTCTTCATGTTCATGACACGTTTACTTTGTTTTTCCACATGTGACCAGATGAACCTGCTCACGTTCACGGTGCCGTCATGTTTCGCTTGGAAAAAAACACGTTTTTATTAGGTTCCTGAACCAACTTTCTGGTTCCTGAGCATTTTGAGCTTTGGAGATGTAGACAGACAGAAGAAGAATAAAGATTTACTCAAACATGTGAATGAAACAAAACCCAACTCCAGCTCTGATTTTGAGGAGGGAACATTAGAACATGATTTAAACCTCACAAGAGTTATATATATATATATAATCTTTAAAAGTCCTACATATATATATATTTTTTTTTTGCTGAGTAAAACTAGTAGAAGTAAAACCTGTGAGTGACTTTCTCACACGGGACAAAAGCGCGAGCAGAGGGAGGAGCTTTTGTGCAGTGAGTAAAGAAAGAAACAGGCTCAAAGTCGAGCTCCAGTTCTATGGCCAAAACAAATACAGCAAACTTTGATCTGGTAATAAAGGACACAAAGAACACAACACAACACAACATGATACAACACAACACAATACAACACAATACAACATGATACAACAAAATACAACACAACACAACACAACACAATACAACACAATACAACACAACATAACAACAACACAACACAACACAACATAATACAACACAACATAATACACACACATAATACACACACACATAACAACAATAATACAACACAAACAACACAACACAACATAATACAACAAAATACAACACAACACAACACAACACAACACAATACAACATACAACACAACAACACAACATAATACAACACAACACAACACAACATAATACAACACAACACAACACAACACAACACACACAAACAACACAACACAACACACAAATACAACACAACACAACACAACACAAATACAACACAACATACAACATAATACAACAAAATACAACACAACACAACAAAATACAACACACACAATACAATACAACACAACAACAACACAACACAATATAAACACAACACAACACAATACAACACAATACAACACAACATAATAAAACACAACACAACATAATACAACAACACAACACAACACAACATAATACAACACAACACAACATAATAAAACAACACAACATAATACAACACAACACAACATAATAAAACACAACACAACATAATAAAACACAACACAACATAATAAAACAACACAACATACAACACAACAACATAAACAAACACAACACAACACAACATAATAAAACAACACAACACACAACACAACATACACAACACAACACAACACAAACAACACAACACAACAACACACACAACATAATAAAACACAACACAACATAATACAACACAAACACAAATACACAACACATAACAACACAAAAATAACAACACAACACAACACAATAAACAACAACACAACATAATACAACACAACACAAACACAACATAATACAACACAACATAATACAACACAACACAACATAATACACACAACACACAAACACAACAAACACAACACAACAACACAACATAATACAACACAACACAACACACTACAACAACACAACAACACAACAATAATACAACACAACACAACAATAATACAAACACAACACATACAACACAACACAACATAATACACACAACAACACAACACAATACAACAAACACAACAACAATA